GTTCGGCCGAACGTCCGAACGCGTCGAGAGGGGTTCCCAAACGTTCGGGCGTTCGGGTTCGGGTGTTCGGCCCGTCCCGAACGCCGGCAACCCTGTATATATATATTGTCACATCACTACATATATGACGATATACATATATATAAATATATATATATCGTCAAACAGAACTGCCCGGTAAACCGTAGGCAGAGAGGGAGAAGAGGACAACAAACGAGGGGCTGTGACAAACTGTCGGAGATGGATGGAAAAGAGTCATCAATGCTGGTCAGGGTTCCTTCGGCCAGACAGAAGGAAATGTGAGTGTGTTTCATGATGTACTATTTTATTCTGACTTGCCAGGGGAATAGGACCGGACTGATGCTCCCCAGAATGGAAATTGAGCCAGGGCCATAAGGACCCTTTCTGTGGAAGGGGAAAAAAAAAAAAAAAAAAACCATTAAATAAAGGAAAATGATAAAATCATTAAAAAAAAAGAGAATCCCCATAGTCTCATTCCAGTGCTGTGGTGGTGTGATTAGATCCACTCCCAAAAGGAGAAATTCCTGTTCACTCCTGCAGGGAGACAAGGCGATCATTGGTGCAGGGAGACAAGAAGATCATTGGCTATATGCTGGTGTCATAGAACGAGGACCAGGACAAACACCCGTGGACATGCAACAACGCTGAGCACCTGCTGCTTCTCCAGGCTGTAGTTTGGCTTTCCTGCCCGCTCCCATCTGAGAAAGGCTTGAATTTGCACCAGATCTTCGGGAACTTGAGCAACACTGCGCTCCTCATACGTTCTGGCCGACCCTTTGGTAGAGCGACCAGTGTCTGCTCCAGGACCTAGCAGCTTCCTTGCCAATTGCTCGATTGTCATCCCCATCCTCACTTCATTTTCGAGCTCGCTCCGCGCTATTTCGTACTCTCTCTGTCATCCCAATCCACAAGGATTCAACCGGAAAGCAGAAAACAAATCTCGTGAGATAGCACCTTCTCCTGAAAGAAAAACGGCATTCCGTGCACGTGTGCCATTTTGTCGTGCAATACTGCTTTTATCTTTCTGCTGATGCACTCCATTCTGCTTTAATCTTGTTGCTGATGCCCAGTTCATCCACACGATGATTATGCTTCACTCACAATTTCAACTTGTCATAACCCTCCCCTCGCTGAAAACCTCAGGAGGGGAAAACTAGTTAGTTTGAGAGAGGCTCGGTGGAAAAAAAAGGCATTGCATTCACGTTGATGGACAGCAATGCACCGGACTTCGTTCTACCCTTTGCATTAGACGCCCAAACTCTTATTGACAGATATCCTCCATATTAGGACACAATCAGCACCCTTTCCTGTAGTAGACAGTAGGCGCCTTCCATATTGACAGATATCCTCCGTATTAGGACACAATCAGCACCCTTNTGTAGTAGACAGTAGGCGCCTTCCATATTGACAGATATCCTCCGTATTAGGACACAATCAGCACCCTTTCCTGTAGTAGACAGTAGGCGCCTTCCCTTTAGGAAACAGTGAGCACACTTTCCTATAGTAGACAGTAGGAACCTTAACTGTAGTAGACAGTGCCACAGTGGGCACGGTTTTTTGTAGTAGACAGTAGATAACCTTTCCTATAGTAGACAGTAGGGCACACCTTCTGGTAAAGGCAAGATCGCACAGCTTCACAGAACATGCGGCAAACCTTGCAAGAAACAGAAAAGGAGGAAAATGGAAGACTATTCAAGACAATGACATACGAAATAAATGAGGAGAATACTCCAACAGGATTTCGGAAAGATAAATTGGGCAAAGGTAACATAGCAGAGGAAAAAACTCAGGCAACGGTAAAATAGCACAGATAAATTCAGGTAGGTTATACTTTCATATTGGAACAGAAGTCCTAGCCCACTTAACGCATCTGCAAACATAGCCAGAGTCTTCCTTCCATCGCCAACATCTCGATTGCAACTTGGTAGTGAGGAGAACCGGGAACGGAGGATATAAGGCTATAGACCAGGTTTAAGTGTCCACCCTTCTAGATTACGAAGCATTACTAAATAGCCCAAGAAGGCTGTGTCGATTCCCAGATAGGGCCAACAGAGACAGGACGTCCTGAGATGGATTAACAGCAGCAACAGGGGTGCAACAAGGATGTATCCTTCCAAATGGGCAGCCATCAGTGCCTCTGATATAGGGTGCTTTGTTGGCCATAATGGAAGGAAGAGTAGAGTGTGTACACACTGTATACATTGTGTATTCTTGTAAGGGAAGCTGGACCTGGTTTCCAGCCATTAATCAAAGTCTCTTTGTTTAACGAACTTGAGGTTTAAAATTTAATAAAAAACAGAAAAAACAGACGTCACACACAGCAAATCTTGCTAAGCACAGAAAAGGAAAACAAATGAGAACAAACGATGCCAACCTATTGTTGTAAGGGAAGCTTGACCTGGTTTCCAGCCATTAATCAAAATCTCCTTGTTTAACGAACTTTAACCCAAAAAAACAAAAAAAACAGAAAAACAGGTTTAAAATTTAATAAAAATATTAAAAATATTAAAAAACAGAAAAAACACAGACGTCACACACAGCAAATCTTGCTAAACACAGAAAAGGAAAACAATGGATGGCATAGAGAACAAATGACGTCAACCTACCTGTTGCTGCTCAGCAGAGTAGTTCTGTCGCCCATTCTTTTCCCATCGGAGGTACGCCTGCACTGATACCAGGTCATCTGGAACCTGGACCACTTGATTGCTTTTTCTTCCTGGGATTGCAACACGGAAGTTGCCACCATTAAATTTGTACCTGCAAAGGTTACGAACAGTGCACATCATGTCAACAATGTGTCCAATCACACAAACCGTGCAGTGTTGCAAACACCTGAGAGGACTCTCCAATCTCTCAAATTCTTAACCAGGGCTGTTGCCACAAGTAAACAACAGAGAAGAGAACAGTCATAAGGTGTTTGCTACTGCAGAGGACAAGCAAAGCGTCAAAAAACATTGAAAAAACCCTTACCACTGAGAGATTTAAGATTCCTCTTCCATCAATTCAGACATTGAACAGAACTAGTGGAATTCAACAGACAGGCACATTACGGCATATATAGCTGCAAAGTTGTGTAAACAGCACAAAAAGAAAATCCTATCTTTACACTCAGAAAAACAAATACTCGTTACCACCCCCATTTTCTGCGAACCTTCGGGACTTTTCTTTCTTCACTCTCTATCAGACCAATGTCATGCAGGTTTATAATTTTATACGTGTCAGATCCTTCAGCCAAGCTGGCTGGCCAGACCCCTATCTCTTTCAACAGAAACGTACTGGACAGACTTATTACTTTCAAGTTCAACAGCAAACCTGCCGATGAAAGTTGACATTTTGGAATGATGTTGCATCATGTCATTGGGTCCCTGATAAAAAGATTTCTTCATTCTCCCATTTTCTACTCTGCATACTCTGCACTAACCTGCTCACTCTTTCACCAAGTCCCATCGCCCCGTTTTCAATCCCCACTTTCCTGTTAGCACTTACTCACACTCTTCATCTACATATTACATAACCATTTGAACCATCATTCTTCAGAATACTGTCCAGCAGAGATATGACCCCCCTTATATGGGAGAAAAAGTCAATTTTTCGGATGATTTCCTCATTTGAGTCCGAATACCTGCTTGACATGCTTATGATTTAAGCCTTCAGAATTTGAGGATGAGTTGCCATTGAAATTTGACGGGAGGTGACCTTCCTTCCATGCCATGCCACAGTCATAAGAACATACATATGTCATTAAGAAAAAGGGAGGGGGTCTCCAATTGGCAATTGCCTCTGTGGCAGTCGATAGCAAGCGGTGGCAAAGTGTAAGGAGAAGTGGGGGTTCCCTTGACCATATATGAAGGGTGAGAGAACTGCGTACACTAATGAAGTTGAGCCCTCCACGGTGTTTTGGGGGGAGCAGTTAGGGGAAACGAAAAACTGTGCAATGTGCATACGTATTACGTACCAATGGTTCTTCGAATCATCCTTCAGCAGGAACTCTATTCCACTGTAAGCAGAAGCATCTGGAAAGTCAAGTGCCAATATTGCCTTGTCTCCAGACTACAACATCAAACACCAGACCCAAAGAAGGCAATTGAGCAAACACCAGTCACGCCGGTCAACTCACCACACATTTTGTCAACCACAGCTTGTTTCCATCAAAATAAACTTTTTAATAAAGTTACCATGGCATTTACTTGCCATCTTGAATATACCCATTTCCAACATTTTTAATTTTTTTGTCCATTTCATCCAACACCACACATTTTGTCAACCACAGCTTGTTTCCATCACAATCAAGTCACCATTTACTTGCGCCATCTTGAATATCAATTTCCAACACTTTCACAATTTTTAGTCCATTTCATCCAACTTTTGGAAACTCAACTCTCTCTCTCTCTCTCTCTCTCGTCTGATGGGACCCCTTGACATAGACTCGTACAAATGTCTCTCACAGTAGAAGGAATCCCTTCCAATCGCTTCATCTATCCAGTTGTAAGAATAAAGTCGTGACCAGAACGGCATGATATTGGTACAAAAAATATATATAATGACTAACCCTAGAGAGGGGTCTTTGAAATGCATACTATTGCATAGCCAATATCACATGAGGCACACAGAATGTCATCTCGAAGACTGGGGTGGTCTTCGCACGACGATGATCCACGATAGAATCAATTATACCCGACTGCACCAGTGATCCAGAGTGTTCCAGAGTCTTCCAGAGCGTCCCAGAGTTGGTTCCCCAGCAAATATGCTTTTGGGGTAATGACAGAATCCATAGAAGGTGCATTGAAGTCGCCACAGAACAGAGGGGTTAATTGAAGTCGTACATCCAATCAATATGTCAACCTGGTTGGGGTCAACCAGCACCGCACTAAAAGAACAGGCTGAGTCTCATCTAGAGAGGAAGCAGTTGTGAGGGGAACACAAGCAGTGGGAAAGGCAAAACAGGGCCATGTTCTTACCCTTTTAAAAGGGGTCTGAAGGGCACGCTCCTTGTAATTTCTTGTGCCCCTGGGAAGCTGGGATTCAGGTGGAAGTACCCACACACTGCAAAACGTTGAAAGAAACCAATTAACAGATAAACCGGTCAACAATGGTGAATGCCCGTACTTGCGCACCAGAACACAGATAAAAACAAAGGGGAATCCCAGTTCTGCAGTAGTTTACAAACTACAGAAGCCATAGCAGAGAGTCAAAAATACCTGACTGCACTTGGTCGCCAGCAAAAGACATGACAAGACCGACGAGTGCACAGCAACTTCAACCAGCTGGACACTTGTATTTATATTTCTATCCTAATTTATTATTTTGATGACGGGAACATAACCTTCAGGCTAGAGCCTCTTCACCTCCCGAAAGCAGAAGATCAGTCCCTCTTTCCCCAGCAAGTAACCAACAACAACCACACCCTATGCTTCCCCCCCCCCCCCCCCACAACACACACACACACACACACAAACACCATATGGGACACAAATGAATATACACGAGGGGTTTAAGAGGATATAAAGTAATAGCACTTACTTTTGACCCTCTTTTGTGGCACCCCAATGAAGGAGGACGGGGGCCTCAACAAGCGGCCACCCTGAGATTTTAAACTCTATATGTGCCCCTTTGCCATCAGATGCGCTTGATGACAGAACCTGGATAAGCAGAACACAGTCGTAGAAAAACTATCAGCCACCCCCATACAAACCCAGCAGGTGATGCCAAGCAAACAGCCACAGAAATGGGCAAGCGCAATCTTCGGGCCTTTCAGTTGCAAACGTCCATTCAAAACTTGTTATCGTCAGTGCAACTGCCATCATTAATCACAACAATAATAGTATAATACTTTTTCCTATTCATGGAACTGGCAAGCAGTTAAGTCCTGCATGAGTGACCGGCAATGTACCAGTGGAGGATTGGCGAACAATTCAACAATCACCAAAAAAAAAAAAAAAAAAAAAAAAGCCTCAATTAGATCAATTTAGTGAATTTAGTATTTACATATTTCATGCATTTCCTTTGGTTGTGTATTTTGTTTGAGTTTTTATGTGTTATTAAGTAATGATGGATTACCAAAAATCAGCCGAATTCTCAAACAATTCAAAACTCAAAATACATGCTGATCGAGGGAAGTGCATAAGAATTGCCATGTCTGTGTGGTGTGGTGTGTGTGTCTCGAGTTCGACAAGATCGACATTACAACCTTGCAGGGGTGGGGTGGAAGGATATCACGACCCGTATGGTTCCACTTCTAAGCACCATGTCCTGGCTGTAGTGGCTAAGAGACTTGCCTCTTGTGCCCAAGAGGCACAGTCAAATAAACTTTATCGTCCCGGTGCAACAGAGTTGGAAAAGCCAAAAAAAAAAAGGAAAAAAAAAAAAAAAAAACTCTAAAAAAGTTGAAAAAGCTTTAAAAAAAAAAAAAGAAGTTGAAAAAGCTAAATCATAGCATACCAAATTACCAATGGAACACTCATGAGACACGCTTCATCCTTCACTGTGCGATATCCCCACACGACGCTCTTTATCCTTCACTGTGCGATATCCCCATCCTCATTTACCTTTAGTCGGTCCGTCACTGGCCACAGCGTGCACACATTTTATCCAAAAATCACCTTCCGAGTTCCACCGCTAACCTTCCACAAATGGCGCAGACCCCTTAAACTTGTAGATAAACTCTGCTTGAGCAGGGACGAGCAAGAAGTCTCTTGCAGAAGAAGCCCACCATCCCCCCACCCTAACCAACCCCACCCCAGCATGGATCACGCTGTCCATCGCATCATGTACTGGATAGACTGACTTCAAAAAATAAACAAATGTAACTGCAACGCACATGATTGATTATCCTTTCAACGGACGGTCAACTTTAAGAATCAGTAATCTCAAATCATTTGAGTGCAACAGATCTGCATCAGTAATCTCAAACTGCTCAGGGAGCCCTCATTGGAGTTGTGCAACACCTTGGAACGAGAAGATTACCATCCATTCCTTCACTGGAAATTTTAAAAAGCAGCCCTCCAGCTTCTCAGCCTTTTCGGTTTGTGTGCACCTACATGCATGCTGATTCACCACCCTGTTTCATCATTCTGCACCCCACTACAGGAGTCAATCGATCGATGCCTCTCTCCATGTGTGTGCACATGGGAAAATGAGGTAGTGCATTTTTAATGCTCAGGGATCCTTGAGCTTGCTGGGGTGCCACCAGACTGTCAAAGGAACACTGCCAATACTTCACAGGTAAACCAGAAGTACTACCAGTACTTCCAACTATGCTACTGGTAGTGATTTTATCAACAACAGGGATGAAACAATTCTTGCGAGTTGTCCTTCAGGACATCCGTTTAAGTTGGAACAATACAGAGAAACATTAGCATGGCCCCTGCGCAAGGATGACAAAAGGAAAAGAGAACAATTCTTGCGAGTTGACGACTACAGGCATAGTGGGAACACCATTCATTCGTAAGTGACATTGTTGCGTAGGAGGTCATTACAGACACCCTGCAAGAACTAACAAGATATTCAAGCCACGTTCTTTTATGAGGGGCGCCAAAAAAGATGGAAAAGCAAGGGATACCCTACCTCCAGTTCGCCATGCCCATCAAGTACGAAGGTTGCCCTCGTCTGCATGAAGAACCATCATCATCAACAAAACAACAATTCGCAACAATTAGATAGCTGCCAGGGAGGCGGGAGGAAAAGAAAAGAAAAAATCAGCTCAAAAATTGGACGAAAGACTTTAGTAAGTTTGAATAAATGCCTACCAAGGCTACCAGCCGGGCCGTCCGGGTCCCGCACGCGGCCAGCCCGTGCAAGGACCAGGGAAGGTCCAAACAAAAAACAAAACAAAAAAAAAATCCGAAAAAAAAACTATGTTATTCAGAAAAATAAACTGAACAAGTTTTGCCTCAGGGTCGCATCGAAATTCTTCACCAAATTTAGAAAAACAAATAAATTTTGAAAATATATTTTTTGGCCCGGCCGGGCAAGTGACCCCGGCCACTCTGGTAGCCTAGATGCCTACATGATTCCTCTAGAACAGCAGTCATTCCTACTCGTGCAGAGGTCAAATAGACTCTTCCCGTTCTATTCTGCATTTCTCATAAAATCTTCCTGAAGTCTCATCTTCTTTTGCTCCTAGTCATTTGCAGAGTGTACACCTTTGCTTCACAGTGGTCACACATCTTAGGCAACATCCACTTGCACTGATCAAGCACAGTACATTTGCACACCAAGCACTGACCACCCTGATCATCGTCCACGTATGCTGAGTGCTGACCCTGGATCCTCGTCATCCAGGGACAGTTGCTGACCGCGGACCCTCGTCAACTGGGGACAGTCGCATCTGAACTAAATTATTACCAATTTACCAGTGAGGTCGCTATATAGGACATTCAGGTCCCAGTGGACTGGGATATCAGGCCCAGACATTCAAGACTGATTGTTCTCTTAAATTATTCTTCTCCGACAGACATTAAGCCAACACACCGTAAAGGACGACGTTCTGAACCAGCTAATATAGCAATGATGAGCCCAAGTTACGGCAGCTCACAGACGAAATGCTGGTGAAATTCCTGCCCATCTTGAAACACAGAACGAGGAGCATTCAAAAGTAGAATAAGAGCAATCAGAAAGGAGATTCCCCAAGGGAAATTCCCCAAGGATCTAACACATCCACACCCTGAATAGTGGCCGACATGCCTTAAAGGACGTTTTTGGCCCCCGGATCACTATGGCCAACTTTTGGCTGGGTGTAACAGTCCCACCAATTTTCTTCCAGGTAATGGTCCCAGCCATTTTCTTCTGAGCCTTCGTCGAAACAACTCTCAGAAGAACGGACTTTGGACCAGGGGGTTTTCAATGGGCGAAAGGTATGTACTCGAGGGCAACATGTTCTGTCATCGTTAATGGCCAACTGTCGGATGAATTCCACCTCACATGCTCTTTGCATCAGGTGTGCCTGCTGGCCCCTATAATCGGAAGTCCTCTTGGACAACATAAGGGTGAACCCCCTAACTCCGGTGTCGAGCACATTGGCTCCCACCTTTCAGCGGAGAGCACTCCCTGCCTGGGAACCAGCTAGTACAGCATGGACAAAAGTAGAATAAGAGTATTCACAAAGGAGATTCCGGGTCTAACAAATCAACACCTGAACAGTTTTTTGGGTCTCCAGCACTAATTGGGAAGGGGGAACGGACCCCAGACCATTGTCCCAGCTCGACAATTTTGCACCCCGGTGCCGATTCACACTACCGTCTTCATCCAGATTGATCGCCCAGCTGTATTTCGGGCAAATTTCACTCTAAATACAGCCATAAAAACTGACCGTTCTATCCAAGTGAAGTCCACAGGCCCTTTCCCAAGTCTCCTTCAACGAAGGAGGATGTGAAATGGCGCGATCCACGGCATCCATAACCTTCAACCACTTTCTTCGCTCCAAGCGTATCAGCAGCCTGCTAACACAGTCATGGCGCGGTCAGAGGCGGGTGCCTCATAATCCCACTTTTGTTGTTGGTCTTCTTGCATGAGAACATTACAATAGAGAAAAAGTTGAAAAACCGAAGCTTACATTTTACAAAAGATTTTACATGTTACATTGTCATGACCTACTTGTTGAAGGCAAAGTGTGCTTTAAAGTTGAAAGGGGTGGTGGCGAAGGGGAGGGAAAAAAGGATGAAAGCTCTATCCAGCGGAGGATACTGAGGGGCAATGCAGACTTGTCCTGTATTCGAGAGATGCAGGCTTGTCTTGTATTGGAGAGGTTCATACCGCACCTGCTGAGTATCCTTTTCCCCTTTTTCATCTTCACTCATACATTCTGAGTACGAAAGGCTTGAGATGTGAACTTGTCATTGGTTACATTTGCTGCTTGTTTCAGAACAGAAACAAGTGGGGACGCGGCAGGTTTCAAACTCGAATGGGCAAAAGAACACGCGCTGGAGAAACAAACAGCCACCGAACTCAAATGGGCATGCACTGCGAAATAGCTCCATTGGCCCTTTTATTTTTTTCCCCTTTCCCGTCTGACACCATGGGCCGCCCCTGCAGATACGACACCTGTATCTCTAGCACAGCCATGGTACTTTCATTGCCTCTTCCAAATCGGCGGCTGTTTTCTTTGCCATGTCTGCTTTTTTTGCCCACTTGAAACTCTTTTCTGACATAATCGTACCTCAAGGTGAGGGGGAAGGGAGGAGGAAAGACGGTGAGGGGGAAGAGAGGAGGAAAGACCAGGACAAAAATGAGGGTAAAAAGAATCAGTACCTTTTACGGTGAGGGGAAAAAAACGCACGAATGCAACAGATGGAGGAAAGTCATGCCTTGGCATGACTTAAAACGCACTGATGCATCAGATGGAGGAAAGGTGAGGGGGAAGAGAGGAGAAAAGACGGTGAGGGGGAAGAGAGGAGGAAAGACCAGGACAAAAATGAGGGTAAAAAGAGAGGACGACGATGCAAAAGAGGGCATTTGCTGCCAGGTGTGAGATGGTAGGGGTGGCCAAACATGAGCCCCTCCAGATAAAAAACAAAACAAACAAAAGAAAAAACAGTGGACTCGGCAGGTTTCAAGTCCGCAAAGGGAAAACAAAAAAACACATGCCAGCAAAGAACACAGGTGCCGACTTCAAAATGGCAATTTGGGTAAAAAAAGTATCCATTGGGCGTCTTATTTCTTTTTTCTCTCCGCATCTGACCCCACCACCGACCCCTGTAAATCTGACACCCGACCGGACACCACAGCCATTGGTACTTTCGTTGCTTTTTCAAACTCCGCACCTGGTTTCTTTGGCAACGACTGTTTTTTTTGCTTATTCAATACTCAAAAGTGACATAAATACTTACCTCAAAAGAAACAACGAGGATGCAGCAGGTTTCGAGTTCGCAAAGGCCCAAAAAACATGCGTCAGCAAAGAAAACAGGCACCGACTTCGAAACAGCAATTTGGCCCAAAAACTTGCAAAAAGTCCATTGCGTTTTCCCCCCCCCTTTTTTTCGCATCTCACACCACGTCCGGTGGTCCTTCCATTGCTTTTTCAAACGCGGCGCCTGGTTTCTTTGCCGGCACATGTTTTTCACCAAAAGTTCATATTTTTGTTAACTCAAAAATAGTCCTAGCGCTAGATCGGAGAGAAAAACAAAGCATTTCAAGTTTTGTGACATCCCGCGTACCTTTGCCACTCGCACCTTTAGTACTTCTTGAACTAATTTCGTATTCTTTTCGCACACTAAGTCTAGGAATACGTTTATTTGCCTTCAATTGAGAATGTTCTGAATCTTAAAAATAAATCCAAAAATCTTGAATATCATAGTCGAAGAAAAAACAGGCAATCATCAAAAAAAAAAAAAAGGTACAATAAAAAATGCCTCAATGAGATCATTCACCAGCCTTGTGGGTTTTTTTTTTTGAGCCTTCAAAATAATTTTTTTTTGTTTTTGTTTCTTAGGAAGTTTTTGTTTGCCAAACATTTTTGAAGATTTGTCCACAAGTTCCAAATTTTGATACTCGCATTTCATAAGACTTGATGACATATATATCATCAAACAGAGCTGCCAGGTAAACTGTAGGCGGAGAGGGAGAAGAGGACACCAAACGGCGGGCTGTGATGTCATTGCTTCTATTGTCTGATCTCATGCCAGAAACCAGATTTCAACTGGTGACACAAGGATTTTCATTTTTTTTGCTTATAAATTCGATACTCGAAACTGACATGAATGTACTTCACCTCTTTTAAAAATAACTGTCCACTTCGACAACTCCGAACCATATTCTGCCCAGGAAGACAACGGATTTAGGGCATACTCACAGTAAGGCTGTAACCACGTCCAGAGCTGAGTCGTAAAAGTCCCTAGTGTGATTATGAAACAACCGGTGACGGGCAGGTTTTGAGTTCGCAAAGGCACAAAATACATGCACCGGCAAAGAAAACAGCCGCCGACTTCGAAACAGCAATTTGGGTAAAAAATTCTCAAATAGTACCCATTCAATTTTTTCTTTCTTTCTTTCCCCATCTGACACCACGCCACAGCCGTTGGTACTTTCATTGCTTTTTCAAACTCGGCACCTGGTTTCGTTTTTTGCTTATTCAGTACTCAAAAGTGACATGAACATACTTAGCTCTTAAAAAAATAACTGTCCACTTTGACAACTCCGAACCGTATTCTTCCCAAGAAGACAACGGATTTCAGGCATACTCACACTAGCACTTGAATTAACGTATCTGACCATTATGACAGCCAGACACAGTTGCATCTTACTTTATACACGTCCAGAGCTGAGTCGAAAAAGTCCCTAGGGTAGTGTGATTATGCCCTTAGTCACGATCACATTTGTAAAGCACCATCACTGCAGCCAAGGGCACAATCTCAACCGCCACTAATTCTTCTTTTTTGTTCCTGTTTTCTATCTTGTTTGGCTGATGATCTCCTGACGCCATGTCAAAGCTACGCTGTATTGTGCACGTGCTGCCTTATAACATAAGCCTGAAGACCAGCCACCGTCAGTGAGAGAGCAACCACCTCCAGACCCCTAGCGGGGCAATCCATCGGTGAAATTCACTGGAAGTCCTCTGCTTCTCAGTCAACTTACAGGGGAGAAAAAATGAACAAAAAAACTCAGCTGCTGTG